TACATTGAAAGAAATGGACAGAATGAGAAATATCTACACAGACAGAATAATATTAGATTTCAAAAGATTAAAAAGTAGAAAATAAAATTGTAGTTAAAAAAACTAAAAACATTTTTTTTTTTTTTACAATCAGAACTAAAAATAAAAAGATAATTTATATGTAGATATAAAGATTATGTTTAAGAAGAATGGGAAGTAAAAATAAAGTCGCCTTTAAAGTCGGTTGCAGCTTTTTTGACAGCTAGAAAGTAAAAATTATAAATACAAAGAGTTCGTTTAAAAAGAATAGGAAGTTCCATCACTTGATTTAATTTAACTTTTAAAGCTAAATTAAATCTGTCAAAAAAGCCACATAAAAGTACATTTAAAACTAATCTTGTCCTTCAAGTAAAATATAATGGCTTATATAGTGAAATATTTAATCCCAGTATTTCGTGGGTCGTTTTCACCTTCTTTTGTCGTTTTTACTGTTAAAAACTTTATGACATAAAACAATAAAATACTTGCGACACCTTGTGAACCATCTATTTATAATCATGAAATATTACCTACACGCACGATTGAGAGAATACAAAGGTTGCGCCGATCTCGGGCCGCTATTCCTCTCTTAACGAATTTGACAGAAGCGTTGTTTGCATGACGTCACACTTGTGCAACTTGTTTACGTTTTCCTTGCAACATTTTTTCTTCTTCTTCCATTCTTGCTCACGTTTTGGCATTTCTCTCTCGCAATTGCACCAGTGTGACGTTACACAAAAGTTATTCTCAAAAGTCCTCTCTGATCGGCGCAATCTTGTATTCTATCATTCTTGACCTACACGTATGTTATTGCATCTAAATAAATAAACTGTTATCAAGTTACTTCATGCATTGTATTTTGTGCTCTCATTCAGCCGAAGACGTAGTATGTATTTCTTGAAACAATTTTTCCTTTTCGATTTTTTGCTTCTGAAAGACCAAAAATATGACTAGCGTAATATTTAATTGTGAAACTCAAACAACATTCATTATTTACGTACTCGGTTTTATTTAAATATAATTCTTGTATAGTTAATTTTAAAGATAAAATACTTGTAGAAGCTAGTAAATTGAATTGCTTACATCAAATGTTTAGGTGATCTAGTATAGGTCATACGCCTGATTGAGGGATGCATTGAACTGTTGGAATTTTTTTTTCTTTATCACAGTGGCGTATAAATATTTAGTAATGTATTGAAACTTATCGCCAGTCTCTTTTTTAATTTATTTGGAATTTCTTGGAAATGGTATAAAGTAAAGAATGAGAGGGCCGGTTGTTCAATGTCTGGTTTTCACTGCTTTCCAGTTAAACATTATTATCGACGATTTCGACTTCATGCTTATAACTTGTGATCGATAAAGCAGTCGTTGTCTTTAACCGGAGCATTGAACAACTGGCCCTAAGTATACAAAATAACAACTTACGAGAACCAAGCTAAGAATGCGATGAATTCGGCGCAATTGATTGTACGTAGCTGATTGTATAAATAAGCAACCACTATTTACGGGTTGTCCTTAGCTAAAATGGTTAGCGAATAAGTGAATAAAGAAAATCGTACCTTAGTAAGTTTTTGGTAATAACGCTGTTGACATAAAAAAAAAGAATTTCTGAGTTCAACAAATTTACAAATTCTTAAAAAAGCACGCTCGTTAAAAAGGAAAAGATTTCGTCTCAAAAATAAAAACTTTTTTTAAGCATTAAGTGAGCTTGGAATTATTTACTGCGAAAATCCGTACGAAAATGGTTTTTATATATGGAGAAAAAATCGCCAAGTATGCCATGAAAAAATTTTATGTCAGCGATTTCGTACAAACAATTTTTTTTCATGTATTTTGAGTTAAGTGCTTATAACTTTTACATTTATTTTTTAATATAGAAAAACAGGATTTTATTGCATTAACAAAGATCATACTTTGAAGTCAAAGAAAGAAAACTGAGGAAATCAATTTTTGTATGTTCATGTTTGTACTGAAAGTATTTTTTTTTTTAATTTTGTCAAAAATTATTCAAACTTGTCGATGAATTACTAGTTTGGTAGGAAAATGTTGTAGTTAAAAATTATAAAAAATTTAATGGCCTTTACTAATATAAACAGCAAAAAAAAAAATTCCATAAAATGACGGGATTTTGTTGCAGCTTGGGACTTACACTTCATTATACCTGAATTAAATTGACTAACAAGCTGCATATCAAACTTGTTCTACGATTCTGAATAAAAAGTTTAAAACTTTGGTGGAAATTTGCAGAATTTTTATAATTTTGTGCAAGGTTTGAAATCTGATTTTAATTGCTGTGTGTTTCAGTATATCCAGCTAGACTTTTATAAAATAATAGTGAGGCGTAATCTGGTTTTTGTGCGAATCGCAAATTTGAAATTTTTGTATTGAACATGATAGGAAAATTTCATGATTTTGTATTCGTACGAAGGATACGCTCCAACAAATATTAAATAAATATAACACAAATATCTCACGCCTATTGTTTTGTGGATTACCGTATATACTTACATACGTATGTATGTTTGTATGAATAAAGAAAAAAAATGGAATGAAGTGAAATTTGGCTATATTTTAAAAACTGTTGTACTTTTTTTATATTCTGATTTCGTATTCAGCGGAAATTTGGTATTAGCATTCATATAAAAATGTCGCAGAACGGAAAATTTGTGTAGTCGTGTAGGCTTGCGTTGTTATCGCCAAAAAATTCCAGGCAGAACACTTGCAGTTTTTTTTGTCACGCCCACTACAATTTATATGCCATTGGAAAGTTTAGAGAAAAACCACACGAAATAAGCCATTTGTGGAAATTTGAAAGTGATACATTGCTTAACACAAGAAAGACTGGAAAATTGACATTTTACCCAACTACTTTAAAATGGATTTTAGTAACAAAAAGCTTGTAATCCCAAATTAAAAATTGTTTATGCATTTAAAAAATAAGCAAACAAATTTAATTTTAATTTTTATATTAAGAATATTATTAGTAAACCAAAAAATCTATGTTTTAACTTCTTAAGTAGTTGTTTTATTTATATAAAACGGATAAAGTACGAATGCTTTATAATTAAATTTGATGCATGATTATTCACTGGTAAAAAAATTAAAAAAAAATTTTTCAAATTTTATAGGAAATTTTTTGAAAAAAAAAAAATTAAAAAAAAAAATTATAGTTTCCACCGAAAAGTTCTATAGGTGAACAATTTTGGATTCGCACTCAAAAGTGTGACAAAACTTAAGGATTTTAAGAAAACTTGTGATTTCAAGAAAAACAGCTGAAACGTGCATGTTTAGACTCGTATAACCTGACGAAATACTGCGTTGGAAAAAAATCTTGTACATGTTGAAACTACCGGTACTAGTAACCATAGCAACAACGTAGTAAAAATCGCTCACCTAAATTTTTTTTATGGTACACTTGGTTAACTTTGTTCCATATATTTAAAATATTAATAACCAGCTTCACGAAAGCAATTTAACGAAAAAATTATTATTATTACTTTTTTTGAATTGAATATGGAAACTGACAGAAAAAAACTATTTTTCACTTAAACTGCTTTCGTGTAACTGACAGTAAGAATTCCAGAGTATTAGAAAAATTTCAAATACACGAACTTCATGAACTTCTCAGGCAGACCTATGGCCTATACAAGGTCACTAAAAGAGTAAATTTTCAATGTTGCACCATGGAATAAATAAGTACACACACACATATGTATATATGTACATTGAGTGTACTTAAATCTAGATAATTTAAAGTTAATTATGTTTTTCAACGTATTCAAACCTACTTTTAGTTATGTACAGATGTCCAACCGAAGGTTTCATACAATTTTAAATGACTAAATTCTTTATAATTGTACAACGTGGAGTGACTATTGAAGTATTTTTCCACGCTAGTCCAGTGTTAATTATAAATACTATGAAATAAAATTACAACTGGCAACTAAACTCAATTCAAACAAAATTCGATAACAAAAACTTATTTTAATCCTAAATAATATTTTTCGTAGTACAGCTGTGAATGCTTTATAAACAAAATTGTTATTTGCAAAAATGACAAGTGCCTAAATTCGCATACTTAACGGCGCTTAAGCTCTGGTCACGACAACGGGAAAGCGAAATTGAAATACATAAATTTTACTAAAACGAAAAATAAAAACAAAGGAACACATTTTTCGAAAACAATATACAACAATTTCAAAGCAAATCAATGTTTTTTCTACTTAGTTACCTACTTTAAAATATTAACTAAACAAATAAATAAATAAATGAACTACGTACTAAGCTTATTTACAAAAGAACGAAAGTACAAAATAAGGGACAAGTAAATTTAAATTACAGCAGGCGACAAATAAAATTGTACACCCAGTTCTATGTAGTATAATATTCACAACTATTTTCATGAAAACTTTTTTGCCTTAATTATTTATGAAAATATAGTTTATTCTATAATATCAACCATATAAATCAAAGTTTCACACTTTGTATAAAGTTTACAGAAGTTCAAAAATTTTTCATCAAAATTTTCAAACTTTTTATTCAGAATTATCGAGTTTGCAATTTTGGTCTGAAGAAATGCTAGTTTCAAACGGCTTAAAATCGCGTTGATTTTTAAGAATTTTTTTGAGACTGCTTTTGCGGTATTTTTATTTTTTTTGTTTATAAAACAAGTGTTATTTACAAACACTTGCGTTGATTTTTTGAAAATTTGTTGCTTAGTCTCCCAAATTTTATTTCCAAAGAAAGTAATGCTTATTTATATGAAAAAAAGTTCAAAAATCCGCCACAAAAAAAAAAATCTAAATTAGCCGTTTGAAACTTGCACTAAATTTAAAAGTTGAAAATTTTTTGCTGAATGTTTCTTGAATTTTTGTGAACTGTATATAAAGTGTGAAACTTTGATTTATATGATTTGTTTTATAGAAAGAACAATATTTTCATAAAAAATGTATTAAAAGAAAATTTCATAAAAAATAATTGTGAATATTATATTAGAAAAAGGTGTAAACTTTCATTTGTCGTCTAGTGTTTATTGACTAATGCAGTGCTGCTTGATAGCAATTTAGTGTTTTGGTAATTTCTGCACCTAAAATGCTGCAAGGCGTAGTGAGTGCGTCGCACGCATTATAGGCCCTCAAATTGAATTCGGTTACAAATCGATTTTGTGTCATTCATATCTATGCTTCGCTGTCTCAAACTCGCTCACAACTCATTCCGTATTAATGCTGCATTGCGGATATAAACGTAAACAATCTCTTTGATCCTGGCCATCACGAGCTGCTTGTATGAAACGATAGAATCGCAAAACAGCGCCATTCGGATTCGATACGGGCTGTAATTCACTTGTATCACTGAGTAAATTCAATTTGCGGCGTTGTTGTTGTTGTTGTTGTTGTTGTTGTTGTTGTTGATAGGATACATGTAAAGGGAAATAAACAGAAAATTATGGATTAATGATAAAAAATAGACAAGCATAATTGGTTTGACTGAACTTGACAAGTAGATATGTATGTAGATACATAATTAGGGGATTCACAAGACGTGTTAACCGTCGTAAAATCTTAAGGTTAACATCTTTTTTAATTAAAATGGTTTTAGGGGATTTCTAACTAAACCGAAATTCTTTTAAACTGATAAAGAATATATAATTAGCCAACCCCCCAACCATTTTAACCGCTATTTTACATAAACAAGTGTTAAGCTTAAGATTTTACGACGGTTAACACGTCTTGTGAATCCCCTAAATATGAGTAGTCCACTGGCAAAGTGGGCTATGTAAAATTTTTCGATTTTTAGTTTTTGGTTGGCAACGTACCGAACCGATTTTCCATACAAAATTAAGTAAGTTTAAGAAGTTTACATGGCTACGAGGCATTTACGCGTTCAGATGCATTGCACTAGCATTTTTTAAACAAACCATGCAATGGTACAAAGGCGGATCGAAAACACTTGAAAGCGTGGGGTTGGGTAACTTTTACATCAGAGCTTATTTTCTGTTAAATTTTTTTGCTATAACTGATAAAGTTGAATTACCTGAAACTCATTAAGCGTATTGTAAGTCAAAAGCCAGTGTTTCTAGTTATACTTAAGTGGAAGCCAACATAAGTTAAGCTTCTTAAATCTGAGTGATAGTCAGTCAGCACTCAATGTTCTTGGAGTTCATATGTGCTCCAAAGGACTTCACAAGGCAAAGCTTACTGGCAGGGTGAAAGCTTAAGTGGTACAATTAACATCGAAAGCTATTACTTTAATTATTTATATACATATAGAGGGCATTTTCAGAAAAATGAGATACTGATGTAAAAATCCTCCTAAGACTGAACTTACGTCTATGATGTTGATGCTGACCTTGTATATCGCTGGTTAGAAGGATTTATCATTGAATTGCATAGTTCGAATTGACATTCAGTGATGCCAGTCAATTCCGAGATGGATACGAATATCAGAAAGTAGTTATTGTGAAAATAAGGTCGAATAAAAGCCCTCGATATACTAAAGTGTGCGCCTACATTTGCATGTAGTAAATAATATGACTGTACCTTAATTTCAAACTTTTTTCTTGTATGTATGTATTTATTAAATATACATAAATTCGGTCACTAGTTGCACTTTCCTTTTTTAATTTTCAATTTCTTTTCTTATCATAAACTGAAATTATTGGAGCAAATATAAATTTTAAATGACATTGAGGCGTGAGTTTCTCGCCTGTCTACTAATTGTAAATCGTTGCAAATCTGAACGGTTAAATACTGTACATATACATATACATCTGTACATACTTATATACCAGTGGCGCATCCATGATTTTACTACGGAAGGGGGCGGGCCTTTGAACTTGTAGTTGATATGATTTATGATTTGTCACAAAATTTGTAGACAGCCTAGTTTTACACTTAAACTGCCGGAAATGGATTTAAAAATGTTTTACCAAATTTTTCATATATGTATATTATGGGCGTGACAAATATCGACAAAACGGTCAAGTTGGGTCAAGAAAATTCTTAATAAGTTCATATTGCTCTAATTACAAAACTGGGATATCTTGAAAAGGTATTAATAAAAAATTTCTTTGGAAATGATGAAGGAAGGTGATTTTTAATTTTAAGAATTACGATCCATTTTGAGTCAAAATTTTTTACCAAACCATATTCAATAAAAATTTTCTTTCGGATTCCCCCCGGGAATCGGCCACTGTGCACATGTGCATTAATGGCTGTAGCCATAATGTCTGTCTGTTTGCATGTCTCTTTGGCAGTTTTCACATTTTGACAAATGATGACAAAAACAGACAAACTCGCTCTAATTCCTCTGACAGCTTGCAGCTACAATGGAATTTATTATATGTACATATGTATGTATGTATATAGAATCATGCAAATACTTGCACACGTGAATGAGTTGACAAATTCGCACTATTTCACTGTTGATGGGCGCCTAGGTAGTGGTGTTGCGTTTGCTTGGTCAATTTTAACTGCTAAAGTAATACATAACTACAAGTACATACATTCATACAGAAATTTATATGATGTCTATGAAGTTGGCATACGGAATGCCGGAGCAATACTAAAAAGCTGAAAACGAAAAAAAAAATTCTACAAAATTACGGCAGAACAAAATTTTTAAAAAAATTCAGAAAAGTTTAATGTTTTCAAAAAATAAAAGTTTAAACTATTTAAAGTAGCTTTTCACTAGTTCTACAGTACATGATAAAAGAAACAAGTTCTGGAAAATTTCGCCGAAAAAATTTTTTCAAAAAAAGTTTATGTGTGCAAAAATAGTATGTACATAACGTAGCTTTTCAATAGTTCTAGATTTCCTGGAAGGGAAAAAAGTTCTACCAAATTGCGTCGAAAACAAAAGTATTTTCAAAGGCTGAAAAAGTTTAATGTGAAAAAAAAAATAAAAAACTAAAACTGTTCAGCGTAGCTTTTCAATTATTTTCCTGGAAAGAAAAAAAGAGTTGCGCACAACTAAGGCGACAAAACAAAAAAAAAAAATAAATCGAAAAGGCTTAATGTGTGAAAAGATAAAAACTAAAGCTGTTTTAAGTAGCTTTTCAATAGTTTTAGTGTTCCTGAAGAGGGGAAAAAGTAATGCAAAATTACGCTGAAAAAAGATTTTTTCAAAGAAGTTTAATGTGTGAAAAAACTTCTAGATCTTATGGTTTTTCCACACCAAAATTTCGAAACTTTTTTGAAATTTTTTTTCCGTGACTTTGCAGAATTTTTTTCCCCTTCCAGGAACTTTAGACCTATTAAAGAGCTACTCAGAACAGTTTTTTCGTTGCCTCTTTGCGACATGTTGTCTGTTGCATTTATTGATAAGCTTATCAGATATTCTATTTTTGTTTTTTTTTTGCATCAATCCATATGCCAACTTCACAGACATATGTACATATGTATGTGCACATATCGAGCTGTAACCGTCAACATACCGTAAGCGAAATTTTTTGTTTTCGATTTCTTTTTGATGCAGAAATGCATCTACATGCTCTAGGAATATTTCTGCATCAAAAAGAAAAATGAAAGTGTTGCATTCGTGATTTTGGTGGTTAGGGCTCGAAATTATAAAGAGTGCCGCCACATACAGATCTATAATATATATCTATAGTCCTGTGCAATAACGACACAATTCAGAATTCAAAAAAAAATATAAACAGTTACTACCGTTAAGTGGCTGATGTCTCTAATCCTAATACACGATATTTATGAAAATATATGTGATTGGTTCACCAATGTAAATATTGTGAGCATTTCTTTAAATATAACGCTAGAGTGCCCACTTACCGACTCAGTTCCGCTGACACAAAATTACTATGCGGACTATATCGTGTTGGATCTTTGTACATGCTGCAGATGAGTCGCTCCTTGCAGAGATCGTCCGTGACGCCAAGTTGTTCCACGATTTTATCAATTTTTAATAGAATGGGACTGTAGAAGGCATCGTAGTTCTTTGGCATAATTGGCTAAAAATAATGAAATCTAAGTTAATAAATTTCTTTGACCTTATAACGTGAAATATCTGAATAAAATGAATAGTGTCTAAATAAAAAATCTACGTAGCGCACAAACCTGGCCATCTTGTACGAACGGCTGTTTCTCGAGTATTTGTTGCTGTTGTGAAATGATGCGCTGCTCGGCCTGTATGCGAAGCGCTTCCTTGATTTGTGCAGCTAGTTCCGGCTGAAACAAGATTGAAGTGGTAGGAAAGAAAATTTTATATTTGCGATGTTATAATTGCACCTATAACAATAATATTTAGACCTAATAGAGATCGCTATAAGTAATCAATAAGTAAACTTGAACTTAAACTGAGCAAGAATGAAAATGCTTTCATTGGCAGACCGCAAAGTAAATATACGGATTCAGAAAAAACTCACATTTAATCGCATTTTATATCACTCATACGCAGTGTACTACAGACCAGATCTGATAATTGCATTTTCCAATTTCGTATGAAAATGTAATATAAATTGTACTTTTTATTACTAAATTGTACCAAATTTTGATTACTATTATTTTTCTAATATTTAGTTATTGTGTACAACTTGTATCTAATTATTGTTCCCAATAAAGTAAAAATAGTTGCCAAAAATTTTGAAACAATATTATCATTATTTTATTTGCACACTTTTGCATCAGATATTATGATTTTAAATGCATGTATATGTATTAGGGTGGTCCTTAAAAATCAAACGAGCGATTTTTTCAGTCCCATCCCTTCAAACGGTAATACAACGGTCACAGATATAAAATTTTTGTCCCGATTGGAGACGGTTAAGGCGTGTCGCCCAGGGTCCAAAGTTCAGATTCCTTTATAGAAGCTCAAAAATTTTAAAATTAATTTTTTTACCAACTCATACCCAAAATTGATACTACCATAGTCGAAGATATCACATATAAATTTTGGTCCCGATTGGAGTCGATTTAGGCGTGTCGCAATGGGGGACCCAATGTCAGATGCTCCATGGTTACTCAAAAAATTAAAAATATTTTTTAATTTAATACCCAAAATCGATACTAATAAAGTCGAAGATATCACATACAAATTTTAAACCTGATTAAAGTCGATTACGACGACTTCATATTTAGGGTAATCTGAATTTTGACCCCTGTGCGCCACGCCTTACCCAACTCCAATCGGGCCAAAGTTTATATGTGATATTTTCGACTATGGTAACATCGACGTAGGGGTTGAGGCTTCGGAAATCTGACGTAAAAATTTGCTTGCTACATTTGAGGACCACCCTAATAAGTACATGAAAGTACATAAATGTATATAAATATTAAGATTTATAATGAATGGGTATTTTTAAAATTACTAAGTTGCCAGTAAGTTCCAAGAAATTGCTAATCCAGTAAATAATTACTCGTAGTTTCCACTGTGTCTGAACTTGTAATCAATGTTATGTTACGACAGCATTGTCCACTAGATTTAAGGTAATCTCTAGTTCTGATTAAAGAGGAAATTGTTTCTACTTGAAGTATATTTCGGCATTTTCTTTTTATTGATTTTTGTATGGAGAATATCCTCCAACATTGGCTGAAGAATGTGCAATCAGCAATAATCTTTGAGCGATGTTGTGTATGTGTTTGAAAACTGTGGCTCATTTAAATCATTGCAGGTGATATAAACTTTTTCCCAAAACTCACAAATATTAAGGTTGACTAAATTTTTTTAAATCAAAGTGTTCAGCCCTAAGTTCTGTGCGGCTGTCTTTTATTCTAGCAATTTCACACTTCTGAAACAATAAGGGCCGGTTGCTCAAAGCCTGATTGACACTAATCTTCGGGTAACATCGTATCATCGATTCCATGCATATAACACAGTGTCGTTACGTCGATAACAATGTTTTACCGGAGCTTAGTGTTAACAAGACATTGAGTAACCGGCCCGAAGTGTGTTAGTGGAACAATGATTTGCATATCGTCTGATAAAAGGGCTTAGTTTTGAAGGCCAAATTATAACTTCGTCATTAAAATTAATTTGCTTGCTCATAGTACGACAAAAGTTTAAATAAAATTGTTTTATGTTTTTTCTAAAATTTATAACATCTTCCTATTCTGGTTTTTCTTTGTTTTGGCAAATGAATGCTCCACAATACACGTTCCGTATATCAAGTTTATGCGATGCTAAATCTATCACCTCAGAAATTAATCAAAACGGCGCTGTATAACTTTTTGAAGTTGACATAAGTAGTAAAGCTACCTTAAAATTTGAAGAAAAGCCGCATTGAAGCAGCAAAATTTTGAAATGCCATTATTAGGTACATTCGTTTGCTTTTTGGCAGAATATTAATCAAAATTAGGTACAATTTAATTTCCCATCTCTGATATATGTAGAGCAACTCAGGTGGAAGAGTCCAGATCAGGGTATATAGATGTACAGACAAATAAGTAAAATGTATCGTAGTAGTAGCTGGTAATGCTTTTGAACGTAAATAACCGCTGAGTGGAAGGCATGCGTGATATGCGGTGCAGCTTGGTTGGTTGCAACGGTTGACGCGGCTGACACTGCGGCTGCTAAAGTTGGGATGAACATTATACACCACAATGAGTTGTGCATGGAGACATCAAGCGGTTGTCACTATGGTTACCTTTACATTGTGACACGCTTTCGCTAAGTACTTAGAGATTACTTTACTGATGTCGGTTACAAATGTATGTACATATACTGTATATGTTTAGTAACAAAAAGCTGAATGCAATAACTCCAAAACTAAATGCCGAAATTCTAAAGGGCTGTTTTTGCTTACATTGAAGCGCAGAGCATAACATGAATACCAGAGATCCGCAATCGGTGCAATTTATCAAACTTTGAAAATACTTAAAAATATAGTCTCGTTGAATAAAATAGTTACTTGGACAGTTAAAATTACCTGCAAGAATTGAAGGTGTTTAATTTTTTTCTTTGTTTTGACTAGAAACAAATATGAAATGAATCTTTTATAGCGTTTTAAATACACATTTTTGGTATTCTTGCATCAAGGAATCCATTTCCATGGTCACAATGGCCGAAAAAAGCATCTTTAATACGTTTGTTTAAGCTCGTGTCAAAAAAGATTAACAAAAATTTACTTTTGAAGGTCATAGGGAAAAAGGACAAAATCAATTATCTCGATAATGAGAAGAGATAGCGAAATAAATACAACAGTGTTTTAAAGCTTTTAACAATCTATTCCATTCCCATATTTTTACAGTGTACTCTGTAAAGTTTGACAACCTCATAATACTATACTTAAATATTGCGCAATACCGAGAGGTACCATTGCGATTATTTTCAAAATTTTTTTTTGATGGCATATTTTCAAAAATTATTTTTTTTTAACAAAAAATTTGTATGTGAAAAATTTTTACAGAAAAATTTTGTTTTTAAATATTTCCTATCATAGAAAATTTTAATGTGTCTATGTGTGATTTTTTTCAAGTTTTTTCCTCGTCACGTTCTCGAGATATTTAGAGAACTATAAAATCGATTTGTTTTTTTGTGCTGTAAAGTTTTTAAAAATGTATTATTCAAGCTCAAATTTCATATTTATTTATTCCTTATGCTTATGCATCAACCCTAAAAATTTGAAACCAATCAAACACATGAAGTGTGAACCCCGTCCGTTTTGGTATGGAACGCCCCATATGTACATATGTATGTATGTAGGCATGCATATTTTTAGCTGGTGTGTATGCCGTTAATTGCAATTACTTGATGCCTTGCAGCTACCTACGCTACACGTAATATCGTTTATTTTTGTTGTTAGCAATTTTTTGTGCAACATATTTACTAGTACAGTACCTGTATATTCATAGTGACTAATGAGAAAAGAAATGAAAAAAATGCAGTTTGATAAGCAAGTCGCCGTAAGCCATTACCGTTGCGACAAGTGACAAGCCTCTTATACGAAATGCCCCCTAAAGTGCTTTCCGGTAATTAGCAGCTCGCAAAGAGTGTGCTTTTTTATGGCTTTTAATTTTTGCAATCCCTCTTTTGCTAATGACTAAATTTTCTTTATATTTTTTGAAGCTGTCCATTATAATTATATATATTATATTAAAACATCGTAAATTATTAGTCGAAGCTTTCTTCAAATCGTAGGGTAGGTCTCAGTAGCCGCATTCCTATCGTAACGGTCGGTATAAGGATACCAAAATATTACAAAAATTAGAAAATAATAGTCTAATGTGATCGTCTACGATCAGAGGTTTGGGTAAGACTTACATATACAATCCGTAAAGAAATTACTCTTTTCAGGCTCTTCACGTATATTTCTTATTTTCTGTCAGAAAGCTTACTGCACTTTGTTACTTTTGTCCAACTCAGAATTTATGACACATGGTTGACTAGTTTCCGAATCAAATTTATGGCAAATAATTTTTAGCAAAAAAAAACCGACTTAAAAAAAAAGGAATGTATATATTATATATATATATATATCATGATCCACTGATCGGATCTAAACCAGATTAGTATGGGACCACCTCTGAGATACTACTTTTCCGATGCAAAAAAAAAATTATCGAAATCGGTTGACGTGGTCCATACATAAAAAAAAATAAAAAAATATTCCGATGAACTGATAACCTCCTCCTTTTTTGGAAGTCGGTTAAAAATCATTATGTTTCCCTACCTAGGAATGTGCGTAGCAAATTTGTACATGTACTGCTTTCACAAATAATAAAAAAAAATATATATTCCAAATAAAGATACTGTTTCAGAGCTGATAGATCTAGGATAATTAAAAAATTAATTCAAAAACCTCTAGCTTTTGTGGAAAAAATTGGAAATAGTTGTTTTTTGTCCCGCATTCGGGTGCAATAAATATGGCCACCGTAAGTTTAATCAGAGAATTAGCACTCAACTTTTATAATTTTGGCAAAAATTGGTAAAACTCTGTTTTAAAGAATGTAGCTACTATGTATAATTATTAGCTTCAGAGTAACAATTTTATAGCCTTTTTAAGTCCAGCCAAACACATTCCTCATTTCTGTAAAATTACCTAAAGTTCAGTGTACTCAAGCGAAAGCTTAGTTACTCAATTATAGTTATACTTAGCTCAAGCAAACAGATAAACTAAATATTTTCTTCTACTAATCCAGATATTTAGTACATATTTATGTTCAGAATAAAATATGTGCGTGCTAACCTGTCGTCTGCATAATGTAAATATTTGTCTGCTTTACTGATGTGAACGAGCTTTAAGTGAAAATGCAAATAGCCCAGTTAACTGATTGCTTGGTAAATAACAGAAAGAAAACTAAAAAAAACAAACACTTCATCGACCCCTATGAATGAGTAAAAATGTTTACTGCTAAATGGATACAGGTACATATACATACATAGATACATATGTGCAAGCCTATACATATGTATGTATGTACTTCCATTTTAAAGACATTGTGCAAACTAAAATAGAAAATGCACGTACATAGATAGTAGAGGTGCTAAATTACATGTGGAAGAGTAAGCACACTGGCTGATGGGTGAAAATACAATACCCTGCTGGAAATGGGACTAGTTTGTAGCTAACTATTAACTAATTAGCAGTCGACTAGTGGTAACTATTTATTAACTATTTTCTTTGGCAGTACTAACTATTTTTAAAGCGCGATGGCCGGAAAATAGAGGGAACTGGTTTCCTCGGCATTAGATATCAACCAACTTGTAGCTCACTACTTTTGGGCATACACTATCAATAAAAGAAAAATATTTTTTTTTTTTAATTTTTATATTTTTTTATTTACTTATTTTATTTAACATTGCATATGGTGCATGTTCTTTTGTAGGTGGTCTCCTATTTGAATTCCATCAGACATAACATCAAAATGATGATAACAAATTTCGACCTTTATTTAATTTGTCCTGAATACGAAATAGAATCTGCGAAGTGCAGAAAAAAGTGTATGGAAAGTAATTTTTGAATGAGGATATTTAAATAGAAATTTGCAAAGAAAAAACCTACCGATAACGTCTGCATGCCTCCTGCACGACTTTACAACTAACTTAAAGTTAATTTTGTCTTAGCTAATTGAAAGTTAGTTATTTATCGAACTCCCGCAAAAAAGCTGACTAGAAGTTGTTTAATTTAATCAATTGATACTTTTTTTCTGCAGGGTATTTGATGATGAACATTTACCTAACAAATCTATGTAGGTGTAGTAGTATTTATGTACATGAAAATGCATTTAAGCGACTGACAGTGTCAATAGCACACAATGGTGGCAGCGGAAAGGGTATGCAAGTGGTGCATACTTGGAAACTTTGGCGAATGTGTTGGAAATGGAATAGAATAATTGTGTCAAGTGCGGAATGACAAGTGGTCACTATTAGTTGAACGCAACACTTTTACGCTTCTCCACATGCTAAACTAAAATGCTGAAAGCAGACAATTAGCAGACAACTGCTTGTGGCACTTCATGCAGTTCGGTGCATTGGGCTGTGAAGTGTCATATCGCAAATTGCTAGCTATTTTTATGGTTGCCAGTATTGCTGCAAACAATAAAAGCGAAACTAATTATTTACCTTTTCTAAATTTAATACTGGGCGGACTTAATGGACGCATTGTGCGCAATTGTGCGCAAAAAAAGAAACTTTCCTTAAAAAGGTGGTAGGTACTTCCGTGCTAATGCTATATTTAGTACGACAAAGAAATTTGAAAGTGTATGCAACAAAATATTCGGGATTTATGACGGCCATTCCATATTAAACTTAACAGAAACTATGATTTTCTGGCGTAGAAAACAACGATAAAGTAGCCAATTTGGACCAACAAACAATTTGCAAGTTCATTAGTTCGTGTTCAATTTATAAAATTAAGATTTCACTGAAAAAATAATTTTTCATAATTTTCTGTTTTTGAGATTACTATACATATTTTCAAATTCTTAAATTCTGTTCTAAATTCCCAAATGTTTTTATTTTTTCGACCTAACGATTTTTTTCCGAGATGGGGTCTTAAAGAATTTAAAAGTTATGACCTTCCAAGTTACTTTAAAAAGCAGAAAATATGAAAAAAGTAAAATAAGGCCGGCGCAGAAGCAAAGAGTTTATTCCGACGTCTCAGCCTCTACAATAAGAAAAGGGCAAATGAGGCTATCATAAAGGCTGGTCACAATCTTCTGGTTTTTTAACCAGTCAGCGATTTCACACTAGAACTATTACAGCTCAATTAGGGAACAAATCTCTACCAACTGCAATGAGGTGATTAAGTATGTGCAAATAAGAAGGTCGCGACCTGCATTGCCCAACTTGTTTTGAAACAGTTAGTAGGATGGTCACCAAGCCTTAACTTCAGCCTGGCACTTACATTCTTAGCTCTCCATATTTTCTTTACAGCGTAGGCTTAAGCTGTAAATGCAGCATGTTTCTCGCTCTGGGGCAACCGAAAAGTGAAGTGTATATTTTTCACACTAATTTCAAATAGAGCAAAAACGCTGTGAAAATTCCTCTAACGGAAGGTTGACGGTGAAAACGGGAGCTTGATAAATTTAGCTTCCACATAACGGAGTTTCTCATAGGCTAGGGGTACCGTAAATTTTTGCACCGCTTCGGACTGGATGGCTCTGCTTGCTTCGCGACGCCTGATAAGAACTTTTGCGTCGACCAATACAAAAATAGCGTTGAAAAGCAAAAAACGGGGTTTTAAAGTAAAAATTATTAGTTTAGGTCAAAACGAGTGAAGACCAGAACCCTCATGGGACCAATAATAATAGCACTGATATACCATATCGTATATCTACTAATCTCTTTCGATGCTCTATGTGCTCTTATTTCCACCTATGAGATACATATCGGCAAGTTTTGCAAGGTTTGCCGTGAGTGCGTAATCGTCTTCTTCTTCAGCTTGTATGGGAGGTGCCACGCTCCCTTTTCCATCGCCTTAACTGCCAAAGCAATGTACGAACGGCACAACACAGTTGTATCAGGCTTTGTATTTCAGTCAGGGTTTCAGCTGTGCGTTTGCGCGAAATGAGCAAGTAATTTGGTGAATACCCTTAACGAAATGAAATATCTACCTAAATATGTATGTATGCTACCTCCACATCGAGCACGCTTAAGTTGATGGTTGACACATTAATTTAAATTTTAAAATTTCAAGTACTTACCGACATTTGCTGCTGTTGTTGCTGTTGTAGCAATTGCTGCAACTGCTGTTGCTTAATTTGATCCTGCTTTTGTTGTTGTTGCGCGAGACTATTGCGAGCCGGATCATATTGAGCGGCTATATGTGCGGCTGCGGTTAACGCCTCGGCTGACGGCTGTTGCGGATGTGGTGGCGGCGGTGGTGCATAGACTGGATTTGGCGCGGATTGTGCAAGTGTCGGATTTTTTAATTTAGTGGCAAATATGCTGTGGAAAATTAAAAACCAAAAGCTCATATTGCGTTTTTTTTTGTTTGTATTAAATTTATAAGCGAAAGTTGATGAACGAGCGAGCTATACATACATACATGAGGAGTATGGTGAAGGAGGAGGGATTAGTGCTTTTGATACAAGGATTTGTTAAGCTATACATTTAATTAAATACTTTTTAATATTAGTATATCTCTGTTGGAGAATGTAGATAAATTCGATGAGGGAAAAGTAGAAGTTAGACACAAACACAAATGTATGCGGATGGTTTGTCCAGTGCAGTCGTGTTAGTGTATGCAGTTTTTCAAAATTGTTGAGATACGCCAAATTCATAGAAGGACTTATGTATTTGATCAGATGATTGGAAAATAGGATGTGACAAAAAAAAATGATAGGAAGTATGTATATTCTGGTAAAATGGACTAAAATAAAATTCATGCATGTGTCTTGATTCTGATAGTAACAAAACCAGAAGAAAATTACTTAAAAAATACTTCTGGCTTTTAAAATACTTAAGCGACTTTGTTTGAATAATTTATCTTTTATAAGCTCTTTGACGACTACTACTACGATTATTATCAAGAAAATATATAAAAATTAAATCAACTTTGCTCTTGAAACTATTATTTGGTTCCTTTATCACTTTCAGGTAGAAGTTGAGTGGGTTCTTTTTTTTGTTTTAATTTCTAAGAAATTAGTTCACCTTTGTTTGGAGTTATTTTCACCATTGAAAAATGGATTAAAGCTATGACTAGTGGCGTGTGGTTTCTGAAGGTTATGTGTTTGTTGTTGTTTCTGTTGTGTTTTCAGTTTTTGTTGTACGAGTTGTTGCTGTTGTTGTAATTGCAATTTCTGTTGTTGTACAAGTGATGGCGGACGCTGTGCTTGTTGTTGTTGTTGTAGTGTAGGTGATTGCTGTGCCATCGGCCGATACCTTTGATGATGTTGTTTATGTTGTTGTTGTTGTTGCTGTTGCTGTTGCTGTTGCAATTGAGTAATGGTTGGTTGTGTAGTGCCCAAACCCCAAACAAGTATCTCATTGGCATCGTTGTTGGCATTCGGTTTGAAATAATTTGAATTTTCATCGACTTGGGCTGCTCGATGTATTTCGCCAATATAACTGCAACATGAACATGCAATGAGAAAAGAAGAACAGAAAACAAAGCAAAGGTGTAGATAGCGTGTTGCTGTAGATGAATGTGTCAGAGGTTGTGACGTCATGGTAGAAATGTTGAAACAGCGTTAGGTCAAATGTTGAAAAGTTAGGACATACATATATATTTATAGAACGAAACACACTTATGTACATATTTTTGTATAGTACTTGTATAGTTTCTATGTATATTATACCGTCCCACCATAAAAGCAAACAAAAAAGTTCGCCGTACACCCCTGGGTCTTCGATATTTTTGGAAAATTCCATTTTATTTTTGCCGAATACAGGGATATCAAAGCTTTTTGCGATTTCACGCGGAAATTTCAGGTCTACTTTTGCCATGTACTCTAACTTCTCGAATTTGTAGGAGCCCTAGCATTTTAGTCGTATTTTTGACAGTGCAGGAAATTGGCAGAGAAGATGCTCAAAGGTTTCTCTGGTCGCCCGTTCATGACAATTCCGACACCTATTAGTGATACCCATTTTTCTTTGGTAGCCGTAACAATAAGCGAGTATATTGCTTCCGCCATTGTCGCACGTAATTTTTGTGGCGGATTTTTTCAAGAGCCAACGGCTTTGGAGTGGACCTCATGATGCACGGTGCCGCGAGGCGCTGAACCTCTGCCATTGGCCTGCACCAAAGCGACATAGAGCAGTAATAGTCTGACTATTGCTGTGTAGCACCACCGCAGAAGGGCAGGTGATACACCACAAGTTACTCCCAGCTTTTATTTATATGTATAAGGGGCGTTACTGGCCTTCTTCAACCTCTCTTCAACACTACTACTCGCAAATCCTACCTAGCTTTGGGGGTCTCCACACAGAGATCTTATATCTTCTTGTGAAGGTCTGTTTTGTCTGCGTTGGCTCCTGGCCCCGCGCTGACTTTTAAGGCGCTGTTCATTACATTACTGATAGTGTCTAGGTACTCCCCAGTTCTACTACACGTCTGTTTCGTCGGCATACGCAACTAGTTTGAGCGTTTTACCGTGGTCGCGGTGTGCCTCTGCATGACCGACTCGTTACCCTACCGTGGTTCCAGTCCGAACTTCTTTTCCTGTGGCCTAAACAGCGTTTAATCTACATAAGCGTGGGTCGAAAATCCGATTTTTTTTGAAATTTTGTTTGGTAATAGCAAAAATATGGTTCTTTATGCTCTAAAAACAATCCCGGCAAGTGGGTGGGTGCAGTCCTTATAAGACTCAGGGGCGGC